CCTCGATGTGACGGCACCGGGAGAGGCCAGAGCAAACCCTGTAACAGCTGTGACCAGCATTTCCCACTCTGCTTCGGTAGGAGGAAGCGGTATGGAAGGATTTTCTTTACTGTGTGTTATTAATAATGTTAAAGTGTTGGAGACCTTGGATAAACAGCTTGGTACTATTTTGAGATTAGAAAGTAAAAAAACAAATAAACTAATTCCTTCTACAGAAGTTTTTTAAGGCTTCATGACAAACAGGCCAAAGGACAGACCCAGCCCCTTCCAAGGGGATGAAAACATTCCCCCTCCCCAGCCCCAGTGCTGTTAACTCTGCTCCCAGCCACAGGCAGCTCTCCTAGCCAGAGGTGAAACAGTCTCCTCCGCAGCAGTTAGGAAAAAACCCCAGCATCCTGTTATCCTCCTCTTTCCACCTAACCTCCCTTGGAAAAACAAATACCCAAAGGCCCAGCAGCCAGTGAAAACAGCCAACATCTGCCGGCATGCTGGAAGGTATGCACAGGCACCCAGCCGGGAGAAGGCGGACAGGAAAGGGCTCTGGCGCAGGAGGCTGGGGCACGGGGCAAGCACGGGGTACACGAACGCTAGGAATGGTTTCTTCAGCTGCCAAAAACCTGCCCGTTCTGGAAAGGACCAAGGATATTGACGGTTTGCATGAGAAGTGTTTTTAAAAAAAAAAAAAAAAAACACAACTCACAGTTCCCTTTTCAAACCCATTTCCAGGCTCAGAAGCAAAAGCAAAGAGTCCAGTAAGACCAAAGTTAATGCTGAAACGCATCATAAGGGCGAAGATTTCATCCAAAAGATGTATATGCCCCGTAACTGCTGCCTCTACTTTGCAGAAAACATATGGATGCTTGTGAAATGGGGAGACCCAAAAGTCTTTCCGTATTCCCCCTCTATTTCTGTTTTGCTCCTTTCGCTGCCTGGGCTGGAAGAGCAGCTGTTTCAATTAAGCTATTTGCACTGAAACCTCTCCCCTTGGTTGACACATAAGGAATATATTTTATTTTGCTGCCTTAATGCTAACAGAAAAATGATGTTAAGAAAAACAACAGGAGAGATGCAACAGGCTGGCTTTCAGCTCTGCTGACCGTGCCTCAGGCAGACGAATCTACACATGCAATCTCTTCTGTCCTGTCAGGATGCCGTTTCATCAGTTTTACTGTATAACCAGATGAGAAAAAGGACCAATTTTTTTCCATTTCTCCCGCATTCATGCTCCAAAACCCCCACGCAGCCAGCCCAGCACCTGCCTCGGTGCTATCCATTGCTAAATTAGGAAATATTACGGCCGGTCACCACCGAAAACCAGTACACTGCGTATAAAACCCAAGCCTGGTTTTGAAAGGTGTGTGGCACATGCAGAGCAGCTGCAACAGATTAAAGGTGCCTCTCCTTCCCTTTCTGCCTCTGCAAGGACTCATCCCTCCACCGCAAAATCCCCCGTGCACCCAACAGCGCTCTTCGCCACGCCACGATATAAATCACTGCACAGGCAAAAACGTCCAGTGCAGCGGGATTTCCCCGGTGCAGCACACTCTGCTCGGCTCCAAGATGTAGACAGGTTGAATTTAACCCCTGGCTGCCCGACAGCGGGACCGCCTGCCTGTCCTGGCTATCGCGGGCAGCACGCTGCAGCTGGCAGGCAGGGACTCAGCAGTGGGGACCAAAGCGGGACGAGAGGACCCGCTCGCTTCTTCTGAGGAGTACGGAGCTGTGATTTTCGGCTGCCGATCCACGGGATCGACCTGTCGGACCGCGGCCACCCCTGGCTCCCCAGCGGCGTGCCCCTGGCACAGCCAGCCGGGCTCGTGGGGCGAGTTTCTTGGCAGAAGCTTGCTGCAAGGACGAGGAGGACTCCGGCGCTCAGGGTGAGACGCGGAAATCGGCAGTGGAGTGAGATCAATGACATCCGCAAGGACCAAGCGGAGGATGCTGTGGAGCCCCGAGATCTGCCCGGTGCCCTGCAGTGAGCCCTGCCCGGGCACCCGGGCACATAAACGGGGCCGATGGGACCCAGGTGCTCAGCACACGAGCTGATGTGTGAGCGATGCTTCCAGCACCGCCCTCTCCGGAGCAGGACTGGAGGAATTCCCCGACCCCAGGGGAGCAGATTAACGTGGAAGTCAATGGCGAAAGGTTAACGGGCTCAGTTAACGTCACGGGGCAAAAGCATGTCCCAGGAACGAAAGGAGGCAAATCACAGCACCTTGGGAAGAGGACACTGGCAGCTGGCATGCGGCCAGGGAAAGCAGGTTACAGCAGCAGAAAGCAGAGCTTGGTGGAACTCGCCTCCTCAAGAGGGAAATTTCCCTTCCCTTCCCTTCTCATGATGGATCGTGACCCAATTCCCCTCCCTTATCTCCTCATGATGGGTCCAAGCATGATATTTCACCTGCCAGGACATCACTAAGCATTCACCCAAGAACCCCACAAACCAGTGGCCCTGCTGCAGCTCAAGCCTAAAAGCCAAGCAGTTGGATGATCCATAGCCTCACAAACCTCAGAGAAGGAGAATAATAAAAAAAAAAAACCCACAACAGGGTGGAGAGCAACAAACACAACCCAGTTCAACCCTGACGGGGTGGCCAGAGCTGCCTGTTCACTCTTTGGTGTCTGCTGCTTTGGGTGACGCCAGCTGGGCGTGAAGGTGTTTCACAGCTATAGGCTCTCAAGGAGTTACTGGGTCTAAACAGCTGGGAAACAGGTCAGGGAAACAAGACAATTTTTATAATGCTGTTTTAATTCAGTGGAAATCAGCCAGGGAAGTGCTGGGACTTGAATTAAGGTTCCCTGGAAAGGAAAATTCAAAACCTAAAGAACCCAACAAAAAATCCAAAGTAAAGGCTGGGGTAAACACTTCCAGCTCAGACCCTTCTGTGAATGTGCAAGTCTGTGCAACTGAGCGTTTCCTCTCTTCTTACCTGTCTTCCCGGTTGCGATCCAGCGAGTAGAACTGCTTCCGGAGCCATCTAAACAGAAAGGCACAAACACGCACACACTTAGCCCCAGCTCCACAACAAGAAGCCAGTTTTTGGTTCGCTGCTCTTTCTGGAAGATGCTCAATGCCTTGAGATCGCTCCCACCAGCGAGCTTGGCTCCGCTCCCCTTCCAGAGGCAGCCTACCCTATTTTCATGCGGGCAACCTGCTCCCCTTTAAAACTGTCTCTGCTTGAAAGTGACTCCACAGATAAGACAAAAAATCAAAGGTATTCTTGTCTACATGCCTCTACGCTGAATTGCTACAGATGAATACAGGCTGCGCACACATAAAAGCATCTGTTTCGTGGTAAAGCTCCTTCTCCCTGCATGCAACGTGAGATCAAACTCTGGCCACAGATGGTGTAGCACAGCGGGTCAACAGGATTGAAGCCTCTCAAGTGCAGAGACAGGAGTGCCAGGTCAGCGTGGCTCAGAGGGGGAATGAGATGTTGTCACTGTGGTCACCTTTTTCTGTCAAAAAGGACAGAAAAGGGAAAAAAAGAAAACAAGTGCAGGACAAGGACAAGTTCCTCACCTTTCAATCTGCAGCGGGGTGGCAGCCCTTAGAGTGTCTGCCACCAGCCAGTTCAGCCCCTTGATCCACATGTTGACCTCATCCTCGGAAGTGGCTGTGGAGAGTGCACAGGAGAAATGGGAGGAAGGGGCATAGAAGCTGGTCACCGTCCCAAACCTCTGGAGGCCATCCCCAGCATCTTAAATCCTTGTTCCTTCCTTCATCCCCCTTCCGAGCTCCCTCCTGTGCAGATGCTCTGGCTGGCTCCTCTCCCTGCCGAGCTCCTGCTCGCCTCCCTCGGGATGTACACGGCTGGCTGGACCCCTCGCCCCTGCACATCACGTAGGGCTGATATCACCCGTCAGCTAACTGCAGCGATGTGATGATATCATATCACATGCTATTACAAGCCTGTCCTCCACCCGAACAGGATGAAACTCAACAGCGTAAACCTCCCTTCTTTCAAAAGCAAAGCATAACGCTGGCTGCTCCAAGTCCAGCTTAAGTCAAAGGACGAGGTGTTGAGAAAAGCTGAGACCACCACCTCACAGGTACCAGGGCTTTGTGAGTTACCGTTTGCCACCAGCAGCAGCTGGCAGCGCTTTCTCACTCAGAAGTGCAAAGCAGAAGCAAGGGAGATTTTACTACTTCATGCGTGGGGCCAGTTACCACAACGCAGGTGATGAACGCCAACATGCCAAGCTGAGATAAGCCACTTCATTTCAAGCACACATTTGAACTAGGGGCTTCAGTTCACTCAACTTTTGGGTTGACTGGGTGAATTAACTGACTTAACTAGGGGTTGAATGTGTACCCTTCAGGGAACTGGTGTCACCTTCTTCCAAAGACACCCCTTGGGGTGGTGAAAAGAACATCTGCCCAGGGATATGTTCCAGCTCACTTGTGGGAGGATGCATCAGAAATCTGGGTCTGCCCAGCCATGGCACAGCCCCAGGGCCACGAGCGCTTTACCTTGCAAGCTCAGGGTCTTCAGCCTGAATTCTGTGCCGTAGAGGACAACAAAGCAGTGAGACTGGTCTGGTCGGAAACATGGATCCTCCTGGTACCGGTCAAAGTCACGTGAATTTTTTCCTGGACGAATCTCTTTGATTTCACGAATATCCACTACGAGAGAAAGGGAAAACAAAAGGGGAGTTCAATGAATAGCTTGAAATTCCCATGAAGATGAAGGAGAAGGAAGGGCATGGATAAAGCAGCTTTAGTGATCTGAAGAGCTGGATTACCACCCATCACACGGTGACAGACCCAGGCATGCCTACAGCACCAGGGTACCAGGCTCCGAAAAGCTCAGTCCCAGGAACCGTGTGTCCCTGGCTGTGCTGGAAAGCAAGGATGGGATGGCTGCCCCAGCCCAGGCAGAGCGCTGCCAGAGCTCTTAGGACAGTGGGCAGGTACTGGGGATGGTGCCTTGTAGAAGGACTTACTGCATTCAGGCAACACTTGAGCCATCACAGCAGCATCCCCGTCATGGCATGGGCTGAAGAGGTGACCCGCACCCACAGCTCTAGCACAGCACAGCTGCAGGTGCCCCGGTCCTCCCGGAGAAGTTGCCCAGACCTCTCACCTTAGATAAGCCCTTCAAGAGCCCCAGATCGCTCCTCAACTTTTCAAAGCAGCACAGAGATCTCACCACTTATCTTGCACATCTTCCTTGCTGTGCGTACGTGGTTGTGCACGCACACAAGCCTGCAAGCACAGCCCCTTCTCGCCGGTTCCCTCGGAAGCCTCCCCAGTCCCCACCCCCATCTACCTCTGTGTCCCCCAAGAACGGCTGGATGTCTCACGTGCGGCGAGCCCAAGGCCCCACAAGCAGAGAGCAGGGCTACTGCAAGCTCCTTCCCCCTTTAGCTTCACACCTCACGCTTTCCTCTTCCTCCACCCCACATACACCTGCAAACTGTATTTTTGTTTCATCTTTTTTTTTTTTTTTTTTTTTAAAGCAAGCCATTCTACAGAGGTGAACCCTGCCCAGCTGGATGAAATCCCGTTTGCAGCCACTGTGTCTTACAAACACCACAAATTTAAGATCCACTCCTCTCCAAATTCAAGTTAGATACTGAAACTTGAGTTGATTCCTGGTTTAAGCAATTCAGTGGTGCCCCTGCCTCCCCACTTTCACCCTAAATTATGCCTGCAGTTTCTGGCATCCCCCCCTTACCCCGTTAGCATCCTCCCAGCTCCTCTGAGTGCTACCAGGATGCCCAGGGCAGTCCCTGCCTTCATACATACACCATCGTCACCACGGAAACTCCAGCCTCCCCTAGCCAAAGAGGGATGAAACGCTTATCACCTCTGGGTCATGTTCAGAAGGTCACAGAAGAAAGCACAGTGCAAGTTACCAAGCCCAACCTCTGGAGATCCAGTTGTGGTGGATCTGCCACAGCTCTGGAGCAGATTCGACTGCCTGTGGCCCCGCCATGCTTCCAGGCAGAATACCCCTCCCCACCCTACTGCCAAGTACCTTCCAGAGAGAAAACATTAGAAAAAGCATGGAAACAGACAAATCTCCAGAGATTATCTGAATTGCAGACACCACCAGGGAGGTCTGGTATCAGCTACCTGAACATATGCAAGGTGCTGGTCAGAACTAGAGCCGAGGGAGGTGGGTTAACAGCTCAGGGCTCCTACCTCTCACAGTTTTGTACATGCACATAAAATGAGACCCGCAGACTTTATTTAAACAATCCTGGCTTCTTTTTGAACCTGCGGCAGCGGCAGTGAGGGTTATCGTCCGGAGGCAAGCCCAGATTGCAGAGGAAAGCTCAGAAAGTTGCATCTCTTGCCAGGTGGGAGATGGCAGGGTCCTGCATCACGAAGCTGGTAATTCAGCTGGACAGCGTGTTACCCTGGCCAGGGCTGGGGCTGGTGACTCCAGGGAGCTCTGCTTACGTTTATGATCCTCATGCACATCCATAACATCAACGTGCTTCTTCCAGGGAATGGCTGAAGAGGGCAAGATGAACTGCAAGCAACCAAGCCATGGTCAAATGAGACCCCCACCAGATGATGGCAAGGGCAGGGCAGCAGCACCGCCATTACGTCAGGCTTCTGGGACACAGGGACAACGCTGTCCTGCAGATATTCCTTAGGTTATAGGGCTGGTGTCACATCCCAGGAGCCCTCCCTGGTGGGCGAACCCAAAGGTGACCGAGCACAAGGCAGCAGTGTGACCATAAGGGACAGCCCAGGGTGACAAGAGCTGACCCAGCGAATGGCACAGTAAATCCAGCCGTGGGGCTGCCTGGCTGCACACATGGCTGCTGAATCCCATGGTGCAGCTACAACATCATCCGGGCAGCTCCAGCTGTGGCTAGCGAAGAGGAACAGATAAATCCAACCAGCTACCTCGGAGCTGTGCTGCTCTGCAAAGGGCAGCTGTGAGCGTGCCGGAGCATTAAACACCAAGCAAGGAGAAGGAGCTGAAGAGATGCTGGTAAGGGAACATCTCGCAGGCTCCCCTCCCCAGAGGAAATTCTGGGAAAGGACTCTCATTGCCATAAAACAAAGAGAAAACAACAGCAACAAGAAAAAAAACCCACAACAAAATACCAAAACCCAAAACCCAAGAATCTTTGCTTCCTGGAAAAGTAGTTTCTTAAATGCTCAGGGGAATCGAGTAACAACATTTCTGAGTCACGTTTCCAAAGCAGATGATGCTTCTGAGCAATGTGGGATGGAGATTACTGCAAACCTGGCGTGTAATTCATCCCAATTAAACTGCACTTACTGCGCTCGCTGTGAATCGACTCGCCTTTCATTTCAATTTGCTGCAGTTTGAAACTAGACAGAAATGTGACCTTCTCATCACCCGCAGCAGGGGCCAACAGCACCGAACGGCATCGCGAGAGAAGACGCTCACTTCACGCGAACACCGCGGCAAGTCAGACATGGGCCTGGCTTTGAGGAGACTTGTTATTAAAGCCACACGAGGAACGTGGGATCCTCTCTTGGCAGGATATGCCGTGCAGCACCGTGGGTGTGCATCTGGAGATGATGGTAGCGTTGCCTGACACAGGACGTAGCCAGACCGACCGCTGCAACAACTCGCTAAAGCTCAGCAACTCGGGACAAGAGCACAGAAAGACCCAGTTCCTTAGGGCTGCAAAGGGCGGATGGACAAGCTCCCTAAAATAAGCAAGGGTGTGACTTTTTAAGGCATCACCTACCCTTTGGAAATGAGCTGGCTGGAAGTTCAAACGTTAGCATACCCTGCTGGAACCTGCCCATGTACTCACATCCTTAGGGACACAGCACGTTGCTTTAGCCCTTAAAAAACCGTATCACCATTAAGGTGTTAAGGTCTTTGCATTCAGGACATGCACAGCAGGGCTGCAGACTAATCCTGTCTTTGAAGGATGCAAGCCTTGACCAACGCAGGGGGAAAGAACCGGCAGCTGGGTTTTCATGGTAGTTTACCAGGCAGTAACTACTGAAGGAAGGTGCCAAAATATTAACGGCCTTCCTTTGCATCACGCTGCAAGTGTCTCACCGCCGCTTCGGGACGCCGCAGCGCACTAACTATGCCCTGCACTCACCTCTCGCTGCACGGAGCACCGGTGGGTTAGTGAGGGAGTCAGAAGACAGAGCTATCGTTACAAACTGCATACCTAAAATCCACGCAACGGAGAGAGCCCCGGAGCAAGCGAGGTGCTTATCGAAGACAGACGCTCGCAGGGAATTCCTAGGGCGAAGGGCAGCCGCTGCGAGGGCCGTGCACCCGGAGGGAGCGGGGTAAAAACCTCCGGCCCACGCACGCTTGCAGCTGCTTGCTCATCTCTCTCATCCTCCCAAACATGCCTGCGTGTGCCGGGAAGAAGGCGGTTTAGGGTTTGGTTTGTGCAGCCCTCTTCTTTATCGAAGACAGACGCTCGCAGGGAATTCCTAGGGCGAAGGGCAGCCGCTGCGAGGGCCGTGCACCCGGAGGGAGCGGGGTAAAAACCTCCGGCCCACGCACGCTTGCAGCTGCTTGCTCATCTCTCTCATCCTCCCAAACATGCCTGCGTGTGCCGGGAAGAAGGCGGTTTAGGGTTTGGTTTGTGCAGCCCTCTTCTTGCCTGTCCCACCCCAAGTCCTCCCTCCAGCACCCCTCTGCCAGCGCAGGACCGGGAGCCACCGCGCATGGGGGAAGGAGAGGTGAAGACATCTTGCGATACCCCCGGTCCCGCCGGGGTTTTCTCTAGCTGACTTTGCTCGTGTCAGCTCTGCGAGTTGCTGCCAGCTCCTGAGGGTAACACCAGCTTTGCACAGCACCAGCCAGCGCCCGCTGCCGAGCGGTACAAATCC